GAAATGGTGGCTTTAATCATGAGGTTGCAGTTGCCATCTTGATGTTTTTGACACCCCTGTCTCCCCATGGATGTCCATTTCAGTTGTTTTGCAATTCTGTAGCAGTGATGGTGACCTTTCCTTAGCTGGAAAACAGTTTCACTTCTAGAATTCTTGTGGTTTTGCTTTGCTTTGCTTAAATTACATGAAGCTTCTCATCAATGGGTTCACCCTCCGATTCATTTATGTAGTGAAAGATGCACATTGCCAACATTTCATTATTGGAAGCCATTTTGCCTTAGGGTGTTGTACTTCACTAACGTGGGGGATTATCATAGTCTTCTCAGGTTAGGGAAAAAACCAGGAAAAGATGACCAAAGAGCCAAACTAGTATTTCCATTTTATAATAATTATGCTAATTATGCTAATTATTATAATATCCCTAATCCCTAGCTTGGACAGAGGAGACTCTAACCGAGACAAGAAGCTTCCTCTACTTAATCCTTGAGAATGCTGATGTCTGAGAATAAAAATGAGAAAACAAAGAGTCATAGGAGTAACTGGTGTTTAGAATGCCAAACATGATCAAGGCCAGCAGTGTTCAAGCAGGTATTTAGGGAGCAATCTGTTTATGGTAAAGCTGATTCAATACTACAAGAACACCCTCTTATTTGCTTTGCTTCCTGATTTGACAATTTGTATACTGTTTTAGATACTTATTTTCTCAATAAACTTAATGTTGTGTTAGGACTATTAGCTTTATCGATTTATGACAGTAATAATCTAACTTAGTTTAGATAGGAGGCTCTATTTGAGGCTTTGGCAGCCTTCTTTACTTACTTTTAGTAGTGATTCTTCAATTGGTCATCTGTAAATTCACTCATCCATCCTGTCTTCCACCTAATTGTTAATGACTATTCCTTTTTTTCAAGGCTAATGTGAAGATCTTGGAATAGTAGCTGTATGAGCAGCTGGGGTAGGGGCTGTTTACCTTGTTAGTTTTGAAAGATTCTACAAAATTCTGCATAGGCACACATTCATATAAGTGAATGCATAGAAGAAAACTCAAGGAAGTAACTATTTATATATTCAGCTATCTTTATTTAAAGTAATACTACTTATAATGATTTTTTTATTTCTCGAACAGGTAGTGAAACGTCTTCCCAAAACTCGATCAGGGAAAATCATGAGACGGTTGCTACGGAGAATAGTGACAGATAATATTAGTGATATGGGAGATATTACCACACTAGATGATCCCAGTGTCATAGAGGAAATACTTGAAATGTATAAGAAATACAAACTTAAGCACCCTACTCTATGATGAATGGACGGTTGTGAAGATGAGTTCTGTTAAGAAGCTGAAGAAGCAAAAGGAACTATCAGTTTTATTCTTGATATATTAAAGAGCTATACTTATTCATGTAAAATCCAAATATTTTTTTCCTGAAAAGAATGTGTATTGTAACAGTTTATCGCTTGCTACATTGAATTTATATTTTATCTTTCTTTGAAAGCATGGAAAAATCATTTTCAAACTGCTATTTAAGACATATTCTGCCTTTGTTAAACAGAGTGTGGAAACTTAAGGAGTAAGTTTGAATTTAGCCTTAATATTTTTGCCAAAGATATAAAGCATTCTTTTAAAATCAGTCTTACTGTACTTTTTTCCTAATTTTGTCTTATCAGATGAACTGAAGCTCTCCATACTTTAAATTATGTGAATTTCTTTAAAAAAAAACAGTGACCTTTTTTTGTAAGATACAATTTTCAGTTTACAAAAATTGAAAGCCAAATTAAAGTCAAAACTGTTTATGACTACTTATGTATAACATGTGGCAAATTATCTGTTTGACTGTAGTTGGACAAACTGAATTGTTACAATGTTGCATTTGCATATAATTATGAACAGGCATATAATATTCTTTATTAAACATGTACATTTTTATATTTTTTTATGTATTACTCAAGGCAGTAAACATACCACTCCTTCGTCTGCCTATTTTCCCCACAACAACCTTGTAAGTTGACCTGATGTGACTGCCCCAAAGTCACCCAGCTGGTTTTTCATGTCTAAGGTGGGGGCTCATAACCTCCTACTTTCTAGGCCAGGGGTGTGAAACTGCCAGCCTGCGGGCCAGTTTCATCATACTGGAGCCGCGCCCACCCCATTGCCGGCAATGGCGAAAAAGCTCCCGTACGTTGTGCAATGTCACGTGACGTCACAAGTTTGACATGTCTGTTCTAGGCCAGCATCTTAAACACTACAGCAGACTAACTTTATTTTTATGTATCTAAATATTGCTGATATACATGAGCCTGAGCATATACAAGAACGAAGGAACAATTTTATGAATTCAGTGCAAAACATCTGATTTAGGGCTCCAAATTCAGACACCAAACCAACGCAATTATATTTCACATTTGAATTATGTGGAATTGAAGAAAAGGGGATATCTAGTATAAGAAAGACACTCAGTTATTATTGGATTGGTTTCTGGAATGCTGAGATTGGGCAGTTTGTTTTGATTCTGGTGAGTGAGCATTGCAACATTTGTTCTGACTTATAAACCAGTAAATTAGAACAATCTTTTGTCATCGTTGCTGGTGAAATGATAGGATACCAGATCATTAGAACACAGCCTATTAGCCCAGAAGCTCATCACTAGTAAACTTTTAAATTGTTGGAAAGGGCAAGATGATATCTCTATTCCATGTACAAAAGGAGCATTTGGATTAGCAGTCCAGTTCATTCCAAAACTAGGAATAAGTTAATTTTATTTAAACTATGTACATAGCCAGCCATTTCATAGGAGTATAACTGAGGGTTAGCAATATAACAATATTTGCAAAAAATACCATCTGAAAACAATATAGCACATGGTTTCTACTTTCCAGTCATTAAGACAAGAACTAAACCACCAAACAGGTCTTAAAATTCCTATTCAATTGAGAACGGACTCGTTTAGCAAGCTCAAGACACATTATAGCATGCATAGCTCTATCTCAGAAAAAGGCTCAGCAGGAATTTCTGGAGAACTTCAGAAACACCCTGTTCCCCAACATTTGCCATCTGAGGTCATTACTGCACTTCCCCAATGATAAAACTGCAAGCCAGTTTGGTGTAGTGGCTAAAGGCGTCAAGCTAAAAACGAGGAGACTGAATTCTAGTCCCTGTTTTGGGCATGAAGTCAGTTGGGTGACCTTGGCCCAGTCACTCTTTCAACCCTAAGAAGCAGGGCAAGAGCAATCTGCTTCTGAAAAACCTTGCCAAGAAAACTGCAGAGACTAGTCCACTGGTGGCGAACCTATGGCACGGGTGCCAGAGGCAGCATTCGGAGCCCTCTTTTTGGGCACACGTGCCGTTGCCCCAGCCTTGCCTCCCCCGCGACCCCCTCCTCTCCAGCAGCCCCCCGGAAGGAGAGTCACCCTCAAGCGTGGCCCAAACAGCAGCGCAGCCAAGGACATGGCAGCCAGGCAGCGTAGACAAGACTCTGCCCTCACACCCCATCATGCAATTGATGCTGCAGGGCGTGGGCAGAGGGTGTGGTCACCATAGCGCTGCTGGGCTGCCTGGGCGATCTGTAGCGGGCCCTGGAGGTGGTGAGTGGTCCTGTGGGCAGGCGGGGCGGGGCATGGGAGGCAGAGCGGGGGCGAGCAGGGGGGGTGGAGTGGGGGCAGGGCCAGTTTTTGGGCACTCGGTCTCTAAAAGGTTCACCATCACTGGACTAGTCCAAGCAATCTCCAAAAAGCAACATTGACTCAAAGGCACCCACAAACACAGTGGTAACATTTTATGGAAAATGCCAGTCTCAGTAATAATCAACTTTTTACACCGTGATGGAAATTGACATTTTTTATCTTACTTAATATTGGTAGCTTGGGCTTCATCTTTAGCGTTTTAGAGGTGCAACAATGCTGCACCTATTAGAGTCATCTGATGCATGTGTGTCTGTCTTTTCAACACAATGTCCTAACTATTCCCTTCTCCGCCTTTCAAAAATCATACAAATCACAGCAAGATTCCCCTATTAGTCTACATTCCACCTCACTCCAAGCTCGTAAACAAAACACGTATTGCCTTTCCTAGAGAGATTCTCCCTTTCCAATTCATGCCAATATCCCTTACACGGGTGTCAAACTCGTCACGTGACGCGCCGAGACGCATCGCGACTTTTTGCATTGCCGGCAATGGGGTGGGCGAGGCTTCGGGATGATGAAACCGGCCCGCGGGCCGGCAGTTTGACCCCCCTCCTCGCTCAAGTTTTTTCCCCACGAGATGCTCTCCAAACGTAACCAGCCTTTCGGAACAAGAGCGTTTCCAGGGTTCTCTTCACGTGGAAAGTACAGTAAGTGGGTGTTCTACTGACCCCGCCCCCTCAAGGAAGCCACTCCCGCTCCAAGTGAGCAGTGAAGTGGGGCGTGGGCGTAGCTGATTCGTTGAGCTTAAGCGGTTAAGGATGGCGGCATCTCCCTGAAGGGGGGCAAGAGAGAATTGCCTTAGACCAGGGGTAGGCAACCTCGGCTCTTTTATGACTCATGGACTTCAACTCCCAGAATTCCTGAGTCAGCTACGCTGACTCAGGAATTCTGGGAGTTGAAGTCCATGAGTCATAAAAGAGCCGAGGTTGCCTACCCCTGCCGTAGACAATTAAAGAGGAAACGGGGCGGTTTATGTGTAGGCAGCAGTGACTGGCCTTTGCCAGCCATCGCCAAAAGAGCGATGGGGCATGGGCCTATGGAGGCTGTTAGGTTATCAGGGAGGACGGATATGGGAGAAGTTGGGGCCGCCTCTGAGGCAGGCCCAGACCTGCATATCCCCCCTTGAAAACCCTCGGTGGACTGTGCGGAGCTGCTGCTGCTGCTCTAGGACGAGATGGTGGCTGGGCGTTTCTGACGGGAGGGGCGGGTCTGGGGCGCGACAATTATTGGCCAAGCTCAGCCGAGGGGGTGGGCCGGCATGGCGGCCTTGGGACGCAAGTCGAGGTGGGGGCGTGGCTTCTATGTGGCAGCCCGGAGCCAGAGGCGGGGCTTCGCGGTGTTGTGGGCCGGGAAGCGGCGCTGCTCCTCGGCTTTCTCGAGCGAGCTTCGGCGGCGCGGTCGGGCGACCGGGGTTGGTCTCTGCATCTCGGAGGGCCGTTCATCGCAACATGAATGAGGCTGAAGGCCTGCGGCAGCGTCGGCCCGTCCGGCCGCAAGTGCTCACCGAAGAGAGCGCGGCGCAGGCAGTCAAGGATAGCAGGTGCGTGGGAGGGCTGTGCTGCTCTCCTGGCCTCTCGGCGTTCCCTCTTCCCGGGGAGGATGGGTGGGTGGGTGGAGGGGCACCGCCGCGGCTTTCGGAAAGGGCGAAGATTTGGAGGGCGTCATCGTCTCTTTCCCCCTGCCCCGCTTACCGACAATAATACGGCGGGAGGGGCCCGGGCTAGAGCGGCGCGAGCGGTTCTCCTCCTTCCGCACCTCGCGCGGAGAGCGTGGTGTCCGTGGGGGGGGGGCAGGGAGGGAGACAGCACCGAGCGAGATAAGCGCTAACCCAGTGTTTCTCAACCTTGACAATTTTAAGGCATGTGGACTTCAACTCCCAGAATTCCACAGCCAGCGTTGCTGGCTGTGGAATTCTGGGAATTGAAGTCCACATGCCTTAAAATTGTCAAGGTTGAGAAACACTGCGCTAACCTTTTCCCTGCTAGATTCTCACGGGTCTAGGTCTCTCGGGAGGCCTTAGTGATCCAGGTCCGTTGGTGTTTGGGAATAATAAATATTCCACAGCCTTTGCTGCTAAGAATGCTCTACGGAAAAAAAAAAAAGCCAAAGGCTTTGAAGTCAAAGGCCATTAATGGAATGCCATTAAAAATAAAATAAGTGGTCTCTAAAGGATCCAGGGGCAATACAGTAGAAATGGCTTTTGATGTGACTAGGCTGGATTGAAATAGGTGGGAATTCCAACTCAGAGATCCGGAAGGGTAGGTCTGGATTTTTAGGAGAAGTGGAATGGGTCCCCGAATGAAAACATCTTTCTTTTCTTTCTCTGACTTGGCAAAAAAACCAGTAAATATCATTATTCTTGACAGTTATTTTTAAAACGACCTCTACAAAATAAACAAAATGCACTTAGGGTAGTATGTCATATGTCATTTTTTTTTCTCGCAACAATTTTTAGATATTCACGTACACATACAACTGATGAAAATGATTATCCTTCTGATAGGTGGTAGAATGTTTTTCTTAAATTAAGCAATTTTAACTTCTAACCAAAGTGTTCATAGCTTGTTATTTTTTCCCCCCATTCTCTTCACCTTTCTCTATAAAATGTAAAGGCCCTGATGGTATGCAAAGAAATTTTTCTTATGATGGAGACTTACAAAAGCAATAATTTTTCCTTCTAAGTCATACAGTAATTAGCTGTAGTTGCATTAAAAGCTTTCATTTACTAAGAAATAGTACATTTATTTATATCCCACCTTTATTATTTTTACAAGTAACTCAAAGCAGTGAACATAACCAACACATTTTCCTCCTCCTATTTTCCCTACAACTACAATCCTGGTGAGGTAAGTTGGGCTGAGAGAGAGTGACTGGCCTCTCCAGTTGGCCTCTCATGGCTAAGGCAAGACACAAACTCATGGCCTCTTTTCTAATCTGTTGCCTTAACCACTGGACCAAACTGGCTCTCTTGGTAAGGTTCTGGAGTTAGAGGTGGGTTAAGCAATCATATCTAATAAACTTTTCTGAAAAAGAAATATTATAGAGAGAGAATGGTTAACTAGATAGAAAAAGTGAAAAGTTTAAAAGCTTAATGTACAGATATCTGGAACTACTTTGCAAGAGCATCAGTTATAAGTTGATTTTTAAAAAATCATTTGGAGATTTGTATCTGAAACATCACTAAATGTAACTAATTTCTTCCTGCAAAACTCTATGAATATTGTCTGAAGCTATCAGATGTTTTCTTTTAAAAGTATACAAGTTAAATGTTAACATTTAATACTTGTATGCAATATTAAAAAATAACCTTTCTTTGGAAAAGATAATCATCAAGATGCAGGATACAATTATACTGTATTTAAAACCTCTAGTAGTATTAGATATTTGTAGCTTTCTGTGCTTTCAAGAGAAGAATGTGATATCCTATGTACTTTTGTACATATATAAGTGCTATAATAAAATTAAAGTTAAATCATGTTTAATATATTTACTACCTTGTTCCTTCCTCAGTCTAGAGGGCATATAACATAATAGCTTCTTAATAAATAGTTGCAGCTGTTGTAATTTGCATTGAAGTTGAATACATATATACATATTTGAGGAAATGTGTGGCTTTCTTAATATAATATATGGAAGTAGTTATCAGGAGCCACTTTGTTGTAATGGTAAAGGTACTGGATTAGAAAGTGGGGGGTTGTGAGTCCTAATCCTTTTTTACACAGGCAAGCTAGTTGGGTAACCAATCATTCACTCACAGCCCAACTCATGTATCAAGAGTTACTATGAGAAGGTAGTAGGAGGGACTATTCTCTTTTTCTAAGAGTAAACATGTTCTTGCAAAATTGTGGATTTTGTGTGTTGCATTGTCATTGCCTTTTGGCAATCTGCAAGAAATAGCTTACTAATTGGTACTTGTTTATGTTATAAACTGGAGATGGGAGAAGTGAATTAGGGAAACATTCTCTAGGTCATGCTGGCTCAGGAATTCTGGGAGTTGAAGTCCACGAGTCATAAAAGAGCCAAGGTTGCCTACCCCTGCTCTAGGTTGTCCTCAACTTACAACCATTCATTTAATGACCAAAATTACAGTGGCTTATGACCACAGTCACATGATCAAACTTTGGATGCTTGGCAACTGGCATGTATTCACATTGTAGGGTTCTGCAATTATCACTTGCAACATTCCTAGGCAGCTTCTGACCAGCAAAGTCAATGGGGGAAGCTGGATTTGCTTAATGACCACATGATTCATTTAATAACTGTACTGATTTGCTTAACAGTCATGGCAAAAAAATCTAGTAAAATGGGGCATGTCTCACGTAACAACTGCCTTGCTTAGCAACAGAAATGTTGGGCTCGATTGTGGTTGTAAGTTGAGGACTACCTATATGAATTTTTCAGAATCCTCAAATAGCATAATCATTATGAATGTTACATTAAAAACTCCCTTCCCCCTTTCTGTGTTATTTTTGGGAACTAATGCAGGCACCACGTTATAACTTTACATGCCAATCTTGCATTATTTATGTGGAAATAAGACAATGATTATTTCCAAGGATGCATAGAATTTTAGCCATATTTTTTGTGAATGAAATTTTATATTTGGCTTGTTCAGACAGTTTCCATCCTGTTTGCAAATTTCATATTGTGAAAGCAATGATTTAAATGTCATATGTAATAGTTCAATATATTATGCCACAAAACTGAGAAGCCACAAAACTGAGAAAAGCTTCCCAGTTTTGTTCAAAGCTCAAGTAGTTTGCTCAAAGCTATTTTTCATAGTCTACCCAGAATCAAGAACCTTATAGACATACTTCTTAACAGAAGGGCTGAAATCTTTGTAATTTTTTTTGTAATATTTAGCTAATGCTAAAGCTGTTGTATCATAGGCTTGTATCCATCTTCTACACTTACAGAATATTACAAATTTGGTGCCTGTTCCATTTATATACCTCTGTAAAAAAAAAACCTCTGAACTTTCTGTAAATGGCAGATGTTCGTGAAATAAGACAACCTATTGATTTGGAAATATGGTAGCAGAAGTTTTGTAAATTGTTTTTTATGTTGGGCAGGGATGCCTTTGAGGATTGCAACAAAATTTTCACTCATTTCATACTTGAAAATGGCAGCTATTAGTTTTCAGCAGTCTTGATAGAGTGATCTCCAACAGTTGCAAAAAGAGAATTTGAGAGACTGGAGTGGTTCTGAGGCCTCAGGTTGTCCACCTTGTATTCTACACATATTTCAACTGTTTAATTGTACTTCAAATCCTTGCAATTTTACTATCCTTTAAGCAGAGTAGACTGCATTTTTATCTAAAAAAACCCCCCAACAAACACACAACTATACCCCATACAAAACTAGCATCCAAAGTATTGTAGTACCCCCATGCCTTAGAACTGAAGTTATATATTGGAGAAATTTGTTTTACTTGAGCAAAGACTGCATACTATTGTTAAGGAGGGAAGCTTTGTGACCATACAGTATCTAGAGCAGTGATGGCGAACCTTTTAGAGACTGAGTGC